ATAGATAGATAGATAGATAGATAGATAGATAGATAGATAGATAGATACTTTATTGATCCCCAAGGGGAAATTCAAGAATGATGCAATGTGACTGGAAAACCATCGATAGTGCCAACTTCCATGGTGCTTTTACTCAACCCAAATCTTCAGTGGTGGAAATACACTGCTCCTATTCAGCCGGTCATCTTCCTACGTTTACTGGACCAAACTAAACTCCTAAATTCATTCCTGAATATCACTCAGCCCAGCTCCAATTATGATTGGCTTGTCTTCCTTCTTACAGCTCTCACAAATATCTCCTGCTGATTGTTTGGTTGCACATTTGCTGTTTTCAGTCGGACTTCTTTTGATTTTTCTAATCCGACTCTTTGACGTCTTCCTCCTTAGACCTGAATGCTTCCCTTATAGTCAGTCTTTGCTCCTTTTACCAGGCTTCACTACCACCATTTTCATGGCATCTCCTTATCTGAATTTGATCTAAAAAGAAAGGTTTTAACTACAATAATAGTTATTTTAAAAACTTAGGAATATTCAGTGCCCCCCCACCATCCTGTACAAGTGCTGATCTAGGGTTTATTTATATTTATAGCTGCTGATTTCCCCAGCTACACACACCTACATAACGGTTAAAAAAAGATAATACATAGAGGCCAGTACTCACTAGTATGACTCCCAGCGTGTCGAGGTTTATGAGCTCTGTGTTAATGCTGTGTGTGTTGCACTGCAGCAGACTGGCCACCAGCCGGACCACGTTGAGTCTGGTGTTGCCCACCGGTGGGTCCAGCACTCCCCAGGTCGTCTTCATCACATTCTTCTGATGACAGACAACAAACACTGCTCAGCATGTAGAACAGTAACAGTAAGGATACAGTTTAGGGATGTCCCGATCCAGCTTTTTTTATTTCCGATACTGATCCCGGCCTATCAGAGCATGTATCAAAGTTTAAAGTTATTTATTTATTTTTAATGTATTTATTTATTTTATTATTTTTATTTATTTCATTTATTTATTTTTTAAAAATAAAAAAAGTTTAAAGTTATTTATTTACTTTTATTTATTTTTTATTTTTATTATACATTTATTTATTTTTCCCAGTCTATCAGAGCATGTACTAAAGTTTAAAGTTATTTATCGACTTACTTAGTTGTCAGACTCATGTTGAACAGGGATTTACTCTGATAACAACTTAATGGTTAGGACACAGAACTGTGGGTTACAGATGCTAATGCTAATGCTAATGCTAATGCTAATGTGGGATCAGACTTAAAAAAAAAAAAACTGGATCTGGAGTCTGGATCTGCATTTTCTCCTGCCGGTCGATACGCATTTTTTTGCAAATATCGGATCCAGATATCGGATCGGGACCAGCCTAATTCAGTTTACTCAAACCTTCAGCCTTGATGGTTCTAATACAGAGGAGAAACTGAGCCTGGGTGTGTGGCTTTTACCATCGGGGGCTGCAGCAGCAGCTGGTGGAAGTCTTTGAGTCGAGGTCTCACGGCCTCCAGGATGCTGTGGTTGACCGAGAATGACGGGTGGGACATCCCTGGAGGGCACTCCATATGACCCTCAAACCTAAAATACACAAAGCTGGTTGGTTTGCACATCTAATAAATAATCTAGTGCACGTCAATGTTGATTTATAGACGCATAAAGAACGGGACGGAGTGGCACATACGCAGGTCTCCTCGTCTCAAACAAGGTGAGCAGGATCTGGATCACACTGACAATCGCAGACTCATCCCTGTCCTTTTCGAAGATATTAGATAATAACTGCTCCACGGTCTCCTGTCTGAGGGTTAGGAAGATGGAAAAATAGAAAAATTAGAGTCTGATGATGTACTTTTAGTCAGAGAAAGGCAGTCTAAGGACACAGGCCCAGAATTGTACAGTACACCGTCCTTTAACTCTTCCTTTGGGGCAAAGCTAGCCCAATTCTCTGGATGTAAAAGCTGAGTTAGAGCCGATAAGCAGACAGTGGCCTGATGGTGCTACTGCAATAGGATCTGGACACTGTGAGGCTAGTGTGTGTGTGCAGTGGGTATGTCATCTATGAGACTAAACGGCATATCCATGAGATATATCCTGTTAGTGATGTGGAAGCATGATTTGTTGCATCTAATCTAGAACAAGAGAAGAAGAAGACATCTGCCTCAACGTATGATTAATCAAATATGTAGGTTGATAATTCTCTCTTCTCTTAGACTATGTCAGTACAACTATTTCCTGTTTCTTGGCAATTTTTTTAATATCTTTTTTTTTTTTTAATAATTTTTATCTTTAGATGTTTTCCCAGTATCAAACATATATAAACACAAACCTAAACATATATGGGAAGCATGCCAATATTCACAAGACATGGTTTTAAGTACAGAAACGTATTGCTCATACTAAATCTGACCGTAAAGGTTTTATGTTCTCAGTCCATTTAGTCCAGATTTTATAAAACATGTCCTTTTGCATCCTGAGGGAAAAAGACAACTTTTCCATGACATATATTAAGTTTATTATATTGATCCAATCCTCAATAGTTGGAGCCTTTTTACTTGCAATAAGTAACATACCAAGTAATCTTTTATCAGCGTTATTCCAATTTGTCATTTTTTTAATATCTTATCTTAATAAACTTATTTATCTTTATTTATTTAGAAATAAATGGACAAATAAAACACATCTCAGCTGACCTTGGCTTGCCCATTCCACATAAACCTACTCTACAGCATCCATAATCTAACCAAACAACACACCAATCAACTTGTTGTTCAACTAAAATGCTGAACAAATCCCCATGCAATGGTGTAGAATAGAATAAAAAATTTGTACTTTTTATCCCCTAGTAATGTTGATCTGGTAGTTGTGTTAATTTAGTATTCTAGTGATTTTGTAAGATAATGTGTGAACTGTAGTGTATGTTGTGTGTAATGTCTCTATCTATCTATCTATCTATCTATCTATCTATCTATCTATCTATCTATCTATCTATCTATCTATCTATCTATCTATCTATCTAAAAATAGAAAAGTAAAACACTTTTTTTAACCCAGACTGCATTGTAAAGGCAGGTTTGAGGGCTTTGTGGGTAAGAAAGCCTTTCAAAATAACAGTTAGGTTAAACTCCGCACAAACATTGTGCATTCTTATAAACACACATCTGAAAACGTACTTTTCAAGTGTGGCCAGAAGTGGATCGGGCTCTGAGCATCCCTGCACCTGGAACATCTGGTCTCTGCTAAGCCTGATGATTTCACACAGGGACTGCGAAGCGTTGGAGTGTCTCTGGAAACAATCGGAGAGCACGATGATCCACACCTTTCTGCCGTTGCTCCCTCACTCTGGATCTCCAGACGTTTAGTTTAAAATAACCTCCGATTACAAAGATAGCAAAGATGGATTAAACTCACATCCTCGTCCTGAGAGGACTGTACCATGTCCACCAGCCTCTGGATCACCTTCTCCTCATTCAGCCACTGAAAGACAACACAAACCGAATGTGGAAAACAATAACCAACTTCAACAGTTGAGAAATGGAAAAACAGTTTGAATCTAATAATCAGCAAAGATCCTGATGTAATCCTAAAAGAAAGCACAATATATGCTTCAAATGAAACATTACATGAGAAGCCTTCTCCAATGACCCCTTTTGATGCTAATTTAGATAAAATATAAACACACATAAAAAGGGAATACTGGGAAACTTTGGTTTTTGAAGGGTTATGGCAGGTAGATTTGAGAATTGTATGTGAAGCAATGGAAACAGACACTATGGTTTTAGAATAAAATCTACAGGAATAAGATTGGAGCTCTGAGGGACTCCATTTGAAAAAAAAAAACGGTCCTGTCTTTTAAATAAGAAGCAAACTGTGACTCAACAATCAGACCTGTTTTTAACATTCACAGATAATTTAAAAAAAATTTAAAATTAAATTAAAAAAAATAAACAGTGACAGATGTGATGGTAAATAAAAAAAACCACAAGAAAAGACAAACATTTTACTGGCTTTATCTTCAATTGAAAGTTTTATGGGTGGGAGTGGAGGGTAAACTGAGGGTCAAAGTTTGAGAGATAAGCTTAATTATGGTGGTTCGGCCTTATTTGACCCCTCCGAGTCGTGTAAACATGGTGATCTTCTTTCTACAGAGCTGAGGAGCTGTGCGGGACCCACATTGAGGACGTCTTGCCGCAGCTGCTGGGGTTCGATGCAGGTGAGCATCCTCAGGAGCAGGTCCATGATGGCCGACGTCCCGATGTGTCTGATCATCAAGTCTACGAAGTCATCCCTCTTCCTCAGAAAGTTCACGATCTAACAACACACAGAAAACACGCACACCTTCAAAATAGGAACAACAGATCTAAAGGCCCGTTATACTGTATAATACATAAATTAGGTTGGTCCCGATCCGATATCTGGATCGGATGCAGATATTTGCAAAAAACTGCGTATCGGCCAGCGGGAGAAAATGCAGATCCAGACTCCAGATCCTGTTTTTTTCTAAGTCTAAGATCCCACACGAGCATTAGCATTAGCATTAGCATCTGTAACCCACAGGTCTGTGTCCTAACCATTAAGTTATCAGAGTAAATCCCTGTTCAACATGAGTCTGACAACTAAGTAAGTAGATAAATAACTTTAAACTTTAACACATGCTCTGATAGGCTGGGGGGAAAAAAGGATAATAAAAATAAATAATAAATAAAACAAAATAAATAACTTTAAACTTTTTTTACTTTTGAAAAATAAATATATAAATAAATAAATAAAAATAATAAAATGAATAAATACATTTAAAATAAATAAATAACTAAACTTTTTTACAACTTTTGAAAAAGATGAATAAAAATAATAAAATAAATAAATAACTTTAAACTTTAATACATGCTCTGATAGGCCGGTATCGGATCGGATCGGAAGTGAAAAAAAGGGACATTCCTCGTAAAAATAGGTGTGAGTTCCTAACAACAATCTTTTCAACAACGGGCCGTTATATCTCCATTGAGACGGAATAGTGAGGCGTTTGTGGTCATTCTGTAGGACTGTACCTGTTCTGGCTTGCGTCCTATGAGAATAGAGAGGACTTTAGAAAAAAAGCTGGCTAGGAGGGGGTTGAGAGGGGGCTCGTTCTTGAGGAAGCCGTAGAGTTTCATCAGCAGCTTTTCATCTTCTCCCAGTCTGTCGTTGATCTGGCTGACATCTGACGTGAGCAGCTCACACGATATGTTGGGATACCTGTGGGAGAAAAATAACAAACAGCCACAGGTCAGGATTATTTCCACAACAACATTAAACCAGAGTTCAAAAAGCTTTAGCTAACGTTAGCTGCTAGGTCCTGAGTGAACAGGGAGAACTGAACTAGCGCTTATTTACTAGCTTATATGTCGTATTTTTGACATGATATCCTTCTTCAGATTAGATGGGGAATTTTTGAAGGCCATGATTTCGCAATCTTTCGGGATGCTTTTTTTTTTATAGGCTGTGCTTGATCTCTGAAATCGACCAATGAGGAGCCAGCTTCCCAAACCCTGACAGAGCTATCTACAGCTCTGGCTCTGACTCTATGACTGAGGATGATTCATTACGATTACATATCAGTAACGAGTAAAGATTCAGCCCGTGAAAGTCAAAGTAAAAGTATTAAATTAATCAGAAATATGTAGTGGAGTAAAAGTAAAAGTAAAAGTATTAAATTAATCAGAAATATGTAGTGGAGTTAAAGTAAAAGTAAAAGTATTAAATTCATGAAAACTATGTAGTGGAGTAAAAGAAAAAATATTAAATTAATCAAAAATATGTAGTGGAGTAAAAGTTAAAGTAGGGGGAAAAATACATCCTCCAGTAAATTACAGATACTGCATTTTGGTACTTAAGTACAGTACTTAAGTAGTTCTACTTTGTTACTGTACATCTCTGAAACCGGCCTCACACTCCATGAACCCATCTGCCAGCCACCACTGAAGATGGAATCTACCAGAGTTTTATTTGTAGGAAAAATGTTTAGACACAAGAATTTTTCTTCGCCTGTTAGAAGCTTAGTTCAGCATAGGGTTGTAAAACGTATCGATACTCCAAAAAGTATCGATAATAAAACGTATCCGGATACAATACTCATTTTCAAAAGTATCGATACCCCCCCCCTCGCTGATTTATTTATTTATTTATTTACGTTGTTTATGATCATTAACGTCACGTTAGCCTTGAATTGCTAGCTGCGACTAACGGCTAATAACAACACGACAACATTAATCAAGTCAAGGATGGATATCCAACTCCCCTCCTACATTCAAGTCGGCCATTTTGATTCCATCACCAATAGGAAGATCCCAGGCAAGAAAATCCTAATTGCTTCATGGCAATATAGACATTCATTTAAAAATAGTGAAATTAATCTTGCAAACACTTAATTAAACTCTATACATAATATTATGTTAAAATAGTGGATGTTAAATAGGTTTGTACAATAAGTCCAAACAAGTTTAACCAAAAAATATTTATTTCTCAAAATTATGAAGGCTGGAGGGTTAGTGTTAGGTTTAGGGTTAGGGTTAGGGTCAGGGTTAGGGTCATTAATGTGGGTCACCGGCATCAGTAATAGGTAACTTTGAAACGAAAGACACTAACCTGTCGAAATTTAGTTACATTTTGGGGTCTTTGTTTTTATCCTTGTGGTATCGCAAATGGTATCGACTATCGAGTATTTTCCTGAGTATCGGTATCGAGTAGAACATTTTTGTATCGTGACAGCCCTAGTTCGGCATCAGGCATATTTGTGTCTTACTTGTATTTGACCTTCTCCTCTACGTCGGCGTTGGGCTCCTGTGTGATGAAGGTGACCAGGTCCTCCATGCATTGTGGCCTCACGATGAAGTCCACCAGCTTGTGGTTCTGGGCCTTGCACTCCTGCAGGACGTCGTCCTCGTCCATTACCTCTATTAGTGTCACATCCTCCTTCTCCAGGAGCGTGTCGATGTGGGATGTGGTGTGGAGGTCAAATTTCCAAAACATGGTGGATCTACAAAAAAAAAAAAACACATGGAGCAAATTAACACTAGTTAATACGTTTATTGAAGCGGGACAAGCAGAAAAAATGTGGAACATCAAAGTAGTTGCTCAGAAATTGGCCTGCAGTCTTTAAAAATTATTTTTCTGATCATTATTGAACATAAAGTGGGCACAATCTGTTTTTGAAAGAAGCTCATTTGACCAGAAACATGTTAAGAGATGTCTTCTGAACTTAACCCCGTTTAGTAAGTTGAATATTGAACAGGAGGCAGGATGGCAGCTTTGGGGGGCAAGATTAGCTGGAAAATTAAGAAATTCTGTCGCTTCTAAATATATATATTAATGTAGAAAGAGTCTTTCAAAGAGACTTTCAAATCTTCTTTATTGCTCTGTCAGAAAGATCTGAGTAAATGAGCATTTACTGTGTACATTTCTTCCAACCAACACCTAAAAATGTTCAAACCAGGATGCTTATGTTACTAAATATGTCTTTTAAATAACTTTCCAAAGAAAGCATCAAGCAAAAAAAATACAACATGAGACAGCCTTTCAAATCCAAACATGGATACAGAGATTAATGGATAATTAAGAACAACACACTTGAGTGGAGAGACTTCAGAAGCCATGAAGATGTGTCTGGAAACAGGAAGTTAAGTTGCATGTTTAATTCAAATATGGAGAGAACTGGGAGGTTTTCTCAACATCGAGGAACGGCAAAACTACACTGATCTTCTCGGGATTTCATTCAGCTTTCAGCATATTTTAAAGTAAATCCAGACACACTGCAGAGAAACCTTATTTTGGCTCCCCGTCTCTGAGATGCTATTCAGTTTCAACCACAACCCAAAGCTCTTGTTTACCCAGTTATGCCGTAAGACGGAGTTTAGGTTGACACAACAGTGAAACTTGAAATATAACCCAAAATTTTTCCTCTGCAAGCAGCAGGGAGATATCATCAACCCTGATCTTTAGAGGCTTTACAGGACAACCCACAGCTCTGTAAAAGCACAGACCGATTACATGGAGGCACAGGAGGCCTCCACTCAGCCCAAAGATACCTTTCTACCCATCAGCTTTTACCAGGAAATATGGAAATGTAAACTATGTCGCCAACCGTAGCCCTATAATGCCAAATGTGTCATATTTGATACGGTTTCTGAAGTCTTTTGGATCTGAGACTTTTTGCATCATTCAGTGGTAAAAGCTTTGCTCAAACCCCTGTTGTACACATTCAGATATACCTGATAACAGCCAGTAGAAGACTACACCAAAATACATTTTTGACTTATTGCACGCTAATTTGATCAAAATAATTTCAGTTTTTTTATCTTCACATGTTGTTGAGGGGCCAAAGAAAGACTTCAGACTAAAAAAATCCAATATTCTTCCTATTTGTCTTGGATCGGGTTTTAAAGGGTTAAAAGAAGCAGCAGTTTCTGGTAGCTGGTTAGAATTGTTTATTCCCAGATAGCTGTTCTTAAAAAAGGATGGCACATTAGCCACTTTGTTTTGGTTTGAAATTGGAATATAAACTTCTGGTACGCTTTAGAGAACACTAGATTTCCATAATTTTTACATGAAAAGTGCTGGACAGGAAAACAGTCCGTCACTCTCTATGCTTTCGAGGACAGAAATGCAAACAGCCTGCAGATATGGGCGTATTGATTCTGTTCTTGTCGATTAACTGACGAGAAAAAAATACCACTCAGGAGTCTGAAGTGTGAGGTTGCTGGTCTGTTTTGTCCGTCAGAAATCTCTCGACCAGAAGCGGTTCTGAAAGATTTACCTGAGATTTATTCGTGGAATAAATCAGAATATTTTCCTCTTTGCACAGATGTCTATGTAAGAAAATACTGAAATATACAGACGTCTCAGGAGTTATTTACACACACACACACACTGGTAAAGAGAACGGCAGAAGCTCTGGGACCCCAACCCGGCTCTACACTGCCCCCGCTGGTTACCTTACACACTGCATCCTGGGAAAATGTGGCAGTACTTTTATGAAGACAAGCAGAAATTAACCCAAATCATATGTGATATGCAAGACGGCTAAATAACACGAGTATGCGTACTCACGATCCCATATCTGGATTTGATCGGCCGCCGATATTTGTAAACAATGCAGATCCAGACTCCAGATCCAGTTTTTTTTTTTAAAGTCTGATCCTACACGAGCATTAGCATTAGCATCTCCAAACCCACAGGTCTGTGTCCTAACCATTAAGTTGTTATCAGACATCCCTAAATCATCTTGCATCTCTCTTCTATATGGACTCTATGAAACGATGCACAATCCCTACATTTTGGAGCTGGAATCTAAAGCTGTGAAAAAGGCGCTGGCAGAAAAAGGGCTGTGAATGGAAATATATATGAGTTGTTTTCGGTACGTATGGAGAACACTTTGAGGAGAAGGTGCAAACAGATTTTTTTTTTTTTTAGCAGCTGATGTTCTCTCAAGTAGGGATGTCCCGATCCAGCTTTTTTCACTTCCTATCTGATCCCGATCCCGGCCTATCAGAGCATGTATTAACGTTTAAAGTTATTTATCTCCTTACTTAGTTGTCAGACTCATGCTGAACAGGGATTTACTCTGATAACAACTTAATGGTTAGGACACAGACCTGTGGGTTTGGAGATGCTAATGCTCGTGTGGGATCGGACTTTTAAAAAAACTGGATCTGGAGTCTGGATCTGCATTTTCTCCTGCCGACCGATATGCAGTTCTTTGCGAATATCGGCGGCCGATCGGATCCAGATATCGGATCGGGACCGGCCTACTCTCAAGTCCTTCCTAGTATGAGATTCTGTGCTGGAGACGCGTTCTCGTAGCTGTAAATGCCTAAAAGAAGCGTCTGGAGGTGGTGCACAGATTGCGTTACAATAATGCTTCGTCTATTTTCTATCACTAAGGCTGGGTGAAACTCAATCATGACAGTTTCTTTATGCCATAGTGCACGTATCTGACTGCATATTGCTGAGTGAGTGAAGCAGAACATGCAGGTCAGCTGACACGTATGATGACGTGTTAACTGCTCGTAAACAGTGAAAACAACACGATGCTAACGGCTACATCCACACACTCACAGGGGGATCTTCTGGAAAAGTCACCGAGGAGATGGAGGGAATTTCTCTGGAATAAAACACGTAAAACGGTGTAGTTGCCGCTCAGATAAATGGCAATTAGAGAGTGGCATGTGAGAGCACATACCTCAAGAGAAGATTAGCAGGCAGCAGTGTGGAATACATGAGTTCAACATTAGGAAAAGTGCCATGCGCATGCTCATTTTCTCCTTTAAGCAGCACCTGATCTTTCCAAATGGATAGGAAAGCACGTCCAAACTTTGGACCGATACTTTATGTTTATGTACTAAATGTTATGACTGGCCAACTGCTTTTTAAAATGTGTTTAAGTAAATGAGAGTGCATGTGACTAGGTAGGAGTGGTGATGATTAACTAAGGGGTCACACACAGGTGGTGCCGTACCTGTGAGTCCAGATTGTGGAACTTGGCTTATAAAAAAAAAACTGTTTTTGTTTTTTGACGTTGTGGACCATTCTAGGGTAACCGGACGGCCAGGTGGGACCTAAGTGATGGATAGACTGACAAAAAGATCAAATAAAGCAGTTCAGAGAGCACAATTATCAAGCAGAGACACGCTGAAAACCCATTTTTCAAAGAGTTGTTGCATAGTTTTTTCCATGTTGCAAACAAAGCAACGAGGATTCTGTAAGCTTACATTTAAAAAGAGGTAACTTTGAAAATTCAAAGATAATTTATGGTACGGCAGCAGTGCCAAAACACAATACAACGCAGGATCACTGCACAACAAGTAGAGGCAAAGCCACATCACAGTGATTCACACTGACCTGTAGAATAAACAAGCTCTCTTTTCAGATGGATTACATTTGGACATAAATAAAGTGCAACTACTACCCTTACAGTCACTATAAGAAAAAGATAGAACCAGTTCTGCTGGAATTACTTCAGGAGCCTCAAATCCACCCGGTAAACTTTAAAAATTGGCACAAAAGGCTTTTGTACCTGCGTTCTGAGAAATATAAACAGAACATATGTTTATATACAGTAGATTTTAAATACTTTTCCATACTAGCATCCAATAGAACTTAAATTATTCTTCAAATGTTATTCTTCAGCATTCGGCAGAGAAAGCCATGACATCCCCTTTTCACTTCCACACAAACAACATGGGCAATCAATCACAATAAGAAACAAATGTAATCGAGTTTCCTCCTGTTATCTTCTGCAGAAAAGTGCTTGTATCTGAACAGCCATGTGTCTATGTGACAAGGTAATTCTACCCAACTCAACTGGAGAACCAAGATTTTCTTTCTATTTCCTAGCTAAGCAGGTTTTTCTGTCATACTTCTCCTCTTCAGTACAAGTTAACTCCCCAACCGGCTCCTCACCAAGCTGTTTAAAGCATATTTAACTACTGTTAATGTGAGCAAATTGGGAATAAAAGATCGCAAAGAAGAAATATAAGAAACATTATGGACGTCACAAACACAAACAGAACTTTGGGCTCCCAGGATTGTGGACAGTCTTGTTTTGGCTATCATATACACTAAGAAAATATCATCCACTGAGGGCAAATGTTATTTAATTTGCTCCCAATTTTGTTAAATAAAGAAAATTAAACCAAAAACTGTTGTGTGAGTTTGACATTAACCTAAACTGCTGATCTAGAGACCAACTAGGGATACATGGACTATCAATATTTCATAGTTAATGTAAAAAATCATTGTACAAGAAATATTTTACACGTAGATCAACGATGGCCCATTTACCATACAACAAAATGTCACTTGTCAATCGAAACTCAGGACAATAACGAGCTGATGATCTATGGATACAATGCCAGCCTCCGTGAGTTAAGTAGATATATCCCAATATAAGCCTGTTTAATGCCGTAAATTGATTTGAGCTATTCGATCTCTTACATGATATTTGACATAAGCATTTCCAATGCAAACCGGTACCTTCCTTACATAAGGACTAACTAACCAGCTTACAATAGGAGTATTTCATTTAGCCTGGCTAAAACAGTACAAATGTTATGAGGAAAATACCTACCAAAGCCGTTGAATACGTTTAAATAATCTGGTCTCCTAAATTAGGGTTAGTACGTACGTCCGGTTACACTATACAAGTGAGCTCTGACAGTTACATTATCAGAAATATTAGGTTAAAAGTCGTGCCCCAAATGCCTGCATCTGGTATTTTAGTAGTGTGGACACTCTACGGTAGCGTTACCACTGTCTTAAGTAGACGCACGCCGATACCAAAACCTAAAATGATAAGGTGGCTAACTATGCTATTTGCTAGCTAGTGAGCTAGCTTAGCTAGCTAGCCAGCCGGCTATCCGTAGGCTGCTGGCTAATCGTCTCTTCAGCACCAAGTGCTAGCAAGTGTACCTACCGACTGACAGCAGTAAAAAGCGAGTCTTGAGCATGTAGATTATCCCGCCATCAGCCCTATGCCTTAACAAAACGAATAACGGGCTACCGGGCCGGTCCGGGGAGGAAAATAAAACGGTTAAAACTGATTCTGACAGGCGCGAAAGGGAAGATCATCGGAGGGCACTTTCCAAGATGGCGGTTCTCTCAACTTCAACTACCCCTTCCCCCACTACAGTTGCAACATCTGTCACTCAAACCCTTGCCGCAAATCTATTGGCTGAGGTTCCTTCGCTCAAACAAAGTCTCCGCTTCTCATTGGATGCGGATCTTGTTGCCTCACTACGTCATCATGTGGAAGCAAAACTACCCAAAGTGGTTCGTAAAGGCGGAGTTTGTGTTGTTTTAGCATTCTTTGAAAACTATAAAAGTCACACAGTAATGGATGAAGTTGATCTATAGAGTAGCGTTAGGCTGTTAGTTTATTTGGTACATTTCTTTTAGAACTCTTCGGATATAAACATTAAACCCGCCGTAAAGGTTACATGGTAGATAAATCGAACATACCTAAACGGTACAGTAGAGCTCTCGGCGTATTGAGAACGCCGAAGGTATCGAAAGGCAGGTAGATAAAAAAATAACAATTTTAGACAAAATCCCACCGTTTTCTTACATATGATCATTTGCAGCCACCTCAGATTACAACGACAAAAAGCTTTCAAAGTCACATGAGACTCTCTTCCACCATCTGATGGGCACTAACTCATCGGTGTTTGATTTCTGCTGAAAACAATAATTAGAAAATGTTTAATTATGATTTCCTTCTCAGCAATGCATTTTTCATAACAGTTTCGTCCAGTTTTTTGTTGATGAATGGGATGGGTGCAGACAATGCCAAAACCACAAATGGAGAACAAATTCAACAAATAGTCTCTTGTGTCTGTTGACAGTTTCCATCACAAGAAAAGAAAAGGTTAACTGATGTGATCATAGTTAAAAAATAACATATAATGAGATAATGCACTTGAATGAGTGTGTTTCCTTGTTTTAAAAAGACTTTAAGGAACAATCAGTTGGAGGATTGATCTAACTTGACAGTTAATACATGCAACACATGCATTTTAAGACATCATATTTATGATATTCACTCAATTAAACTGATCGATGAAGGAATGGGTGTTGCCAAATCTGGTTTCATTTAATTGTCTTTAGATTTGGCTGCAGGCAAATACTTCTTCAGTGTATTGTTATTATGCCCCAGGCTGTCCTTTAAACCTGTCTGTGGTAATTCCTCTGATTCACATAGATATTTACATACACACAAACAGATAAACCACAAAACTCTATGCAATAAAGTGGCTGTCCAGGTCCCTGAGGGGGGAGAATCCAGTCTCCTGTGCTGCTGTTTTGCTGCTGACCATCTCAGTTACACAAATAGTGTTTTTTCTCTCTGGCAGTCGGTGGTTCTGACCGCCATCCCCGACCCAAACCCGACTCCACCGGATCCAAAACATCCTTTCGACTTATTCTAACTCCTCACTGAAGAACAAATGCCATTGTCAGATCATATCACCTCTGGTTCTCCAGAACTGGGAGACATTTAATTACTTTCTTTTTCAGTTTAGATGGGTGCAGCTTCAACCCACTTTTGTATATTTATATATATATATATAGATAGATAGATAGATAGATAGATAGATAGATAGATAGATAGATAGATAGATAGATAGATAGATAGATAGATAGATAGAT